TAAACACCTCTTCCTCCTCTCTCCCATCTACTCGCCTCCAAGTGGCCAGAGCCCAAGCTTTGCCTCCACTCAGTCCAACCCCCTCTCCCAGGCAGAGAAGCAGCGGCTAGAGGAGGCCCTGAATGCTGCTGAGGAAGAGGAAGGGGGCCTGGCCGCAGCCAAGCGTGCACTGGAGGCACGGCTGGATGAGGCCCAGCGGGGGCTGGCCCGCATGGGCCAGGAGCAGCAGGCACTGAGCCGGGCTCTGGAGGAGGAGGCCAAGCAGCGGGAGGCCCTCCGGCGGGGCAAGACGGAGCTGGAGGAGCAGAAGCGCTTGCTGGACAGGACGGTGGAACGCCTGAACAAGGAGGTGGGGTACAGGGGTGTCTGGGCTCAGGAGGAGGCGCAGGTCATACAGAAGCCTGCCTGGGGCACCAGGGTCGGGGTAGGGGATTGTGGGTCAGAATGTGGGCTGTTGGCTTTCCTCAAGGTCATTGTTGGGAGGCCAAGGTTAAGCCTTCAAAGAGTAACATCCTTCCTACCTCCCTTGAGGGTTTTTGCCCTTCTCCCCACATCCCATTCCTTGACGGTCTTGCTCCTTAGAGAATATCTCCTGGGAGTCTCCCTTAGAAGTCTATAAGACCTAAACAGAAGACTCTTCATTGGGAGTATTTTGTATTTGGGGGAGGGGAAGGAGACAGGAAGAAAAGGAAATAAATTGCTTTTAGGGGTAAGGTGGTCCTCCTAATCTCTTACTTTATAAAACTAGAGAAAACACCTACTATATATAGTTCATCAATTCTAAAATGCACGTTTTATCATCTCCAAAGTGGAGTTTTGTCTTATAATTAATTGATGGCATGTCATACTTGAATTGGCAGACTTTTCTTTCTTTTTTTTTTTTATTGTGAAATACACATTTTTTAAAATTAGTTTCAGCTGTACAACACAGTGCAATAGTTATACTTTTTACCCCTCGAAGTGACAACCCCCCTCCCCAATCCGCCGCCCCACTCCCCCCCCAATATCATACATATCTATTACAATTCCCTTGACTCCACTCCCACACTATACTCCATGTCCCATGACTATATTCACATATATATATATTCACTTATAGTTGACATAAAATATTATACAACATCAGCTTCAAGTGTACAGTGCAGTGATCAAGCCTCTACCCCATCTATGATGCAGTCTCCCTAACAAGACGTGGATTTTTCTTTCTTAGTGGTACACCTTACACTCATGGGTACTTTGGATTTGCTGAAATAAGGTCATTTAAGGTTTACTTTGCATCAGGAGCTATTGTAGGTGCTTTACATAATTAACCAAGGTAGTTCTCCCAACACACTTGTGATGTCGGTTCCCCATTTTACAGATGGGAAACTGAGACCCAGAGAGGGCAAGTAACTTCCCTATGGTCACACAGCTAGTAAGTGGTACAGCCAGGATTTGAGCCCAGGCAGTCTGTACATTACTAGGGACCTAGGCCAGGAAAGAGCAAGAGAGGGCAGCAAGAGAGAGTCTTGGGAGCCTGGGCCCGGAGAAGGGACAAAGACACCTGGTAAAGAGGTGCAGTGCTGAAAATGCTCTTTTCTCGGTGTCTCAGCTGGGGCAGATTGGGGACGACTCGAAGCTAGCTCTGCAGCAGCTGCAAGCCCAGCTGGAGGACTACAAGGAAAAGGCCCGACGGGAGGTGGCAGATGCCCAGCGCCAGGCCAAGGAGTGGGCTAGTGAGGCTGAGAAGACCTCGGGGGGAGTGAGCCGGCTTCAGGATGAGGTAGGAGCTCAAGTGGCAGGATGGTGGGACCCCTCCCAGTGTCCTTGGTTTGAAGGCCATTGCCCCATAACCTAAGAGCCCAGCGATCCTAGGACCTGGGTTTAGGTCTAAGCACTTACGGTGACATACTAAGGTAGGGGATAGTGCGGGGAGTGGCCCATCCTAGGTGCAGACACTGGGGGAATGCATTGTCTGTCCAGCAGGGATTTGCAAATTGCTGTCACCTGGGGAGATTAAAAAAAAAACGCCAATGCCCAAGCTACTTCCTGTACCGTTTAAATCACAATCTTGGGGCTGGGATCCAGGACCACTAGTCTCAGAACTCCTCAGATGATTCCAATTTTTGTGCAGAGAATTTTAAAACAATAAAGAAAATGGACGCAAAGTCAGACTGCTTTTTATTATCACCATGCTCTGGCAATTGTAAAGATGTCAGTGGCAGACTATTTCTTGCTGCCTGCTCTCACCCCAGTGCTTACCTTACTTCTCCAAGCTGTTGCATTGTCCCTTGTGCCCAGGTCCAGAGGCTGCGACAGGCCCTGCAGGCATCGCAGGCCGACAGGGACACAGCCCGGCTAGACAAGGAGCTGCTGGCCCAGCGGCTGCAGGGGCTGGAGCAAGAGGCAGAGAACAAAAAACGCTCCCAGGATGACAGGACCCGGCAACTCAAGGGCCTTGAGGTGAGACATTGGGGGTGGCCTGTGGTGGGCAGGGGGTTGTAGGGGCCTGGATCCTGGCACAGGTGGGACTTCTGTGTACCTAGAAGCCAGGACACTCTGAGCCTCTTTCTCTACTGGGGACTGAAAACGAGCAGCCCACAGCTGATAGATTCTGTTTGACTACAGTGTTTTAAAAAAACAGCTTCAAATTAAACAAATGCCAGTGTTTAGAAATTTAACAGATGTCACATAAAATTTGGATTTCTGGCTTCTTTTGTACGTTTGGAAAAGAGGGTAATGCTGACCTTTGAGCCCTGAGTTTTCTGCCTGGCGACAGTTGGCAGGAGGGGCTGAGCAGTGGCTTCTTCTGTTTAGAGAGAACAGTGGTCTTCAGTTTGCTATCTTTGGCAATAATAATAATAACAACAACAACAACAATAGCAGCAGCAGCAAACACTTCTTCATTATGCTGTGTGCCAAGCACTTAAGACTCGTTTAATCCTGAGGATAGCCCTGTAGGGTAGGGAGACTTCTCTGCTTTATAGATGAGGAAAACGGGGACACAGGTTAAGCAACCCCATGGCCTCTCTGCTGATTTCCACACCCAGGCCGGTTGGCCCCCAAGCCCATACTCTGAGCCTCTACATGGTACTGCCTGGCTCGAGTGTCCTCCCCGAGTCTGTGCCCTGGTGCTTCAGTGTGTGACTCTCTCCATCTCAGCCTTGGCTTGGGCACTTCGGTCTCTGTTTTCCCATTGGGGAAGTAGGGCTGCCCCTCTGAGGCGAATAGATTCTGGGGGTTGTCACCATGGCAGGGGGCCAAGACCAGAGCAGGCCCCACTCTTTCCCCTCGACGCCACCCTCAGCAGCAGAGGGTATGAGCCTCATGGTGGGTCCGGACAGGGGCAAGGACCCACAGGTAATGGGGGTGTGCGAGAGAAAAGTCTGTGGAAGCTGGGCTTGGAGAGGGTCCTGGTCGAGGTTTGGCATTCTGGTGTCCAGCATTTGGGGCGCAATTAACCCGTTGTCCCTCTGCCCCAGGAAAAAGTCTCACGCCTGGAGGCGGAGTTAGACGAGGAGAAGAACACGGTGGAGCTGCTGACCGACCGGGTGAATCGTGGCCGGGACCAGGTATCCTCTGCCTTACCCCGATCCGCGTCTACCCCTGACTACAGAGCCTCTGGCCCTCTCAGAAACAACCCCACCCTCCATTTTTCATAATCTGGGGAGTCTGCCTGCAGAACCTGCGCATGCCTGGCTCTGTTTCAGGGTCTCCCGTGCTTCGGGAGGGGGTGGCACGTTTCCTCAGGCGGAAAGAAGCCAGGAATTTGAGTGGTGGAAGCCATCCTGGTGGCCTGGGCTCCTCTCGGACCTGAGTCTGGCTGCTTTCATTCAGAATGGATGTTAGTTCCTGATGGGGCTGAGGGGGCCCTGCTTAAATTCTGTGGCTCCTCCTGTTTGAACAGGCTGTGATTTCTTAGTTACCTGGGAATTTGGGGGATTTGGGGTTCAGAGAGCATCCTACAGTTACTCTGCCTCACTTGGTTCCGCTTGCTAGTTCATTGTTAGCCCTCCCCAAATCTAGTTCCTCTCACCCAACCCCTAGGTGGACCAGCTGAGGACAGAGCTTATGCAGGAGAGGTCTGCTCGGCAGGACCTGGAGTGTGACAAAATCTCCCTGGAGAGACAGGTGAGGGGGAAGGGTGGGAAGTCTTGGGGACAGACTCCAGGAGGTGGTCTGTCCCTCTAACAATGGAGGCTTCCCGTCCCTCTCAGAACAAGGACTTGAAGAGCCGGTTGGCCAGCTCAGAAGGCTTCCAGAAGCCCAACACCAGCCTCTCTCAGCTTGAGTCCCAGAATCGGGAGTTGCAGGAGCGGCTGCAGGCTGAAGAGAGGTGACACGAGCCCATACTTCCTCTCTCCCTCTGCACTTGTCTTCTCTGGGCCTCCTTCCATCTTCCACCTCACACATGGCCAACATGGCCTGGTCTTTTGGGAGAACGTTTCTCTTGATAGAGGGCAGAGAGAGGGTTGCAGAGATTCTGAAGTGTGAATGACCTCTGTGTCCCCAGGTCTTTGGGTCTGCCCTGGGTCCTTCCCAGTCTGATGGCGGGGTTTGTGACTGAGAAGACTCCTTGGAGGCACTGCGGGGGTGGGGGGGGTTCCTTTAGAAATGGTGACAGCCATAGACATCCCCCTACCTCACCATCTTAGGGAGAAGACAGTTCTGCAGTCCACCAACCGAAAACTAGAGCGGAGGGTGAAAGAGCTGTCCATCCAGATTGATGACGAGCGGCAGCATGTCAATGACCAGAAGGACCAGGTAAGGATGGCCGCCGGGGCCAGGCAGCCCCGTGCATTTGCTTGGAGGCCAAGGGAGGACCCATCTCGTAGGTCTTCCAGACTTAGGCTTTCCTTGTACAAGGGCAGAGATGTAACCACCGGAAGGACTGGATTAGAGGACTCAGAGGAACACGTGTATTGAGTGCCTGTGATGTGCTCACTTCCCTTTCTAAGTGTTACATGTGTGTTAAGCCACTTAGTCCCTGAGACAAACCCGTGAAGTTAGGGTGCTTGCACATGGTCACAACATTTTACTAGGGGCAACGATCCCTTGTCTAGATTGCTACGGGGTGGGGGGGGNTCTCTCTCTCTCTCTCTCTCTCTCTCTCTTTCCTTCCTTCCTTTTCTTTCAACAGCCAATCCTTTTTCATCCATACCCTCATCTACACTCCAAATGCTTTTTTTTTATGGACATTTATTTCATATATCATAAAATTCATCTGTTTTCAAGTGTACAGATTGAGTGGTTTTTAGTATTTTCACCAAGTTGTACAACCATCACCACTGTCTAATTCCAGAACATTTCATTATCCCCAACAGGAACCCCTACATCCATTAGCAGTCACCCTCCCCCAGCCCCTGGCAACCACTAATCTATTTTCTGTCTTTATGGATTTGCCGATTCTGGACATTTCATTTAATTGGACTCCTATAAGATGCAGTCTTTCTGTCTGATTTCTTGTCCTAGCCTAATGTTTTTCAAGGTTGTAGCATGTATCAGGACTTGGTTACTTTTTTATGGCTGAATAATCTTCTACCATATGGACATACCTCATTTGTTTACCTGCTCACCAATCGATGGGCATTTGGGTTATTTATTTTAGCTGTGATGATTAATGCTGCTGTAAACATTCATGTACAAGATTTTTTTTTTCTTAGCTGAGCCATCCTGCCACCTGTTGGCAGCTCAGCAGCAGCTCAGCTCGGGCCGGGAATTGAACCGGCAACCCTGTTGCTCAGAGCTCACACTCTTGAGTGAGTTCTTAACCAAGTGAGCCATTCGGCCGGCCCTCGTGTACAAGTTTTTTGTGAACATGTGTTTTCAGTTCTCTCGGGCATATACCTAGGAGTGGAATTGCTGGGTCATGTTACCACAGAAAGCTCAATGGTTAGCTTTCTGAGAAACTGCCAAATCGCTTTCCCAGGTAGCCACACCATTTTATATTCCTCCCTCCCTCCCCAGCGATGTATGCGAGCTCAGTTTCTCCACATTCTGGTATCCCAGGCTGGCTCTGCCCTGACACCACACCCCTCCCTTTGCAGGAGCTGCGCCGGACACATGAGGAACTTAAGGAGCAGCGGGCAGAGCGGCAGAGCCAGGAGGTGGCTGGGCGACAGCGGGAGCGGGAGTTGGAGAAGCAGCTGAGGGTCGAGGCTGATCGAGGCCGGGGGCTGGAACAGCAAAACGTCCAGCTACAAAAGACCCTCCAGCAACTGAGACAGGACTGTGAAGAGGCTTCCAAGGCAAGGGGAGTGGGCACAGGGCTTAGGAGGTGGAGGCTGAGGGGTCTGGAGGGCTGAGGAGCCAGAGGGCGTGGAAAAGTACCTATCATGGGTATGTACAGACCAGATCCTTGGTCCTAGTGTGTGGTTAAAGCAGCCAGGATGTGGCAGGGGGAGGCCGGGCTGTACCTGGTGATGCCCACTGCATCTCTGTAGGGGTGGGGTTCCCAGGGAAGCCCCTGGCTGGTGGCACTTCCCCACTTTAAGTCTGGTTCTCGTGGGCTTCCTGTGGGGTGGCTTTCCTGGGAGTGGTGAGGGACCTGGAGCCCTGGGGTCTGAGCCGCCGCTCCCTGAACGGCCGCAGGCTCAGATGGCAGCGGAGGCAGAGGCAGCAGTGCTGGGGCAACGTCGGGCAGCAGTGGAAACGACGCTTCGGGAGACCCAGGAGGAAAATGACGAATTCCGACGGCGCATCCTGGGTCTGGAGCAGCAGCTGAAGGAGGCGCGAGGCTTGGCGGAGGGTGGGGAAGTGGCGGAGGCACGGCTTCGGGACAAGGTGCAGCGGCTAGAGGTCAGTGCCTCTGAAGACATTGTTGGCTTTTTGGGGTGGGAGAGCCCTGCTCCTCTAGTCCCTGCCTAAACAACCCAGCCATCACTTTTATTCTGCCCTTAGTGTGGTTCTCTTTGTCTTCCCAAACCCTCTGTTTACCTTGGGTTTATTTCCTGGCGTGTGTTTCGGTGTGACGTCCCAGGCTTGGCACTGGTATTTTTATCTCTACCTCCCACCCTTCGCTATGGTCTCTGTGTCTTCATTTCTGTGCTGCTTCCTCTGAGCCTGTTTATACTGCCCGCCCTTTTCATAAACACCTCTTCCTCCTCTCTCCCATCTACTCGCCTCCAAGTGGCCAGAGCCCAAGCTTTGCCTCCACTCAGTCCAACCCCCTCTCCCAGGCAGAGAAGCAGCGGCTAGAGGAGGCCCTGAATGCTGCTGAGGAAGAGGAAGGGGGCCTGGCCGCAGCCAAGCGTGCACTGGAGGCACGGCTGGATGAGGCCCAGCGGGGGCTGGCCCGCATGGGCCAGGAGCAGCAGGCACTGAGCCGGGCTCTGGAGGAGGAGGCCAAGCAGCGGGAGGCCCTCCGGCGGGGCAAGACGGAGCTGGAGGAGCAGAAGCGCTTGCTGGACAGGACGGTGGAACGCCTGAACAAGGAGGTGGGGTACAGGGGTGTCTGGGCTCAGGAGGAGGCGCAGGTCATACAGAAGCCTGCCTGGGGCACCAGGGTCGGGGTAGGGGATTGTGGGTCAGAATGTGGGCTGTTGGCTTTCCTCAAGGTCATTGTTGGGAGGCCAAGGTTAAGCCTTCAAAGAGTAACATCCTTCCTACCTCCCTTGAGGGTTTTTGCACTTCTCCCCACATCCCATTCCTTGACGGTCTTGCTCCTTAGAGAATATCTCCTGGGAGTCTCCCTTAGAAGTCTATAAGACCTAAACAGAAGACTCTTCATTGGGAG